TTTTTTATGAATTTAATTCTGTCAGTTTTGGGATACTTGTTAATTGTTCCCAAAAAGTCAGTAAGAGTTATTTGCCAATATTCATTATTCTTCCACAAGGAGGAAATTTGTCATTAGTTAAAGGTACTATAATTTCTGCTGGATCTTTTCCAGTCAGCTGGCGAAGTCTTAATTTACCCTTTAAAATCAAATCAGAAATCTTTTCTATATATGTCTTTAACTTCTTATTCTGTTTATGTGGCAGAAATATCCATTCCAATATAGTGTCTTCCCTTTGCATCACAATTCCAGAAGGGTATTCTCTGGATGGCAAGATAACCAGAATACAGTCTAAATCAAGGTTTATCCGATCTACATGTGCATCCAATATTCTGTTTTCTACCCATTGCAACTCTTTTTCTGCCTCAGTAGATAATATCCTAGGACTATTTAGGTCCTTATCACCTTTAAGTGCCATTTTAAAATGCTTTGAGTCATGTCCTTCTATACCAATAAACGTCTGTAATTGAGAAATTTTCCCTAATAATTTCTGAAGAGAATTAAGAGTTTGATAACGATCTCTCCTAATTTGTACCTTTTGAGGTCTGATTCTTTGTAAGTCTATCTTGTAACCTAAATAGTTAATAGAATCTCCTCCTTGTATCTTTTCTGGGGCAATCTGTAACCCAACGAGGCAGAACTTCCTTCACCATTTCAAACATATGTTCCAAAGTTTCCTTATTAGAATCTGATAAAAAGAATGTCATCCATGTAATGATAAACAAGAGATTGTGAAAATTTCTTAGGAATTATTTCCAAAGGTTGCTGTACAAAGTATTGACACAAAGTAGCAGAACTGTAGGGGAAGCTGTAGCCACCCCAGTGGCTGGCTACAGCTTCCCCTACAGTTCTGCCTCCTCTGTTGGCACAGGAGCATCCCAGGGCAAGGCCTTGCTCAGTATTTTAAAATGTAAAAAGGCCTCAAAGGATAGGAGTAACCTCTCATTCACTCTTTATAAAAACATGGTTTTTTTTCAAGTATGTCACTGGGGCAGACAGGTGATCCTGGGATATATCATCCCAAGCCAACAAGGCTGGAGCTGAAATGTTCTCTAGAGAAGCCCAAAGATAAGGTAAAATAAGTTCAGAAATCCTGGGGCCTGGCAGATAGCCCAATGCCATAAGCACATTGATGCCAAGCCTGATGGCCTGAGTTCCCAGAACCAATATGGTGAAAGGAAAAAAAAAAACAACTCCCAAAAGTTGGCCTCTGACCTCTCTAGTGCTGTGGCATTTGTATGCTCACCTACATATGAAAGTGCACAGACCCACACTAATAAATAAAAATGCAATAAAACTAAGCACCAAGAATGGTGGCACACTCCTTTAATCTCAGCACTCAGGAGGCAGAGGCAAGCAGACCTCTGGAAGATTAGTGACAGCCTGGTCTATATAGCAAGCTCCAGATCAGCTATAATTACATAGTGAGAGCCTGTCTCAAAGGAAAAAATAGATAAATTCAGAGATGGTATGTAGAGGAAAGGTTACTTCATAGAGAAAGCAAATCGGGCAACCTTCCTAATGCTTCTGCTAACACCGCCAACTGCCCTCCAAACCCCTCCCAGGGCCTAGCTGAGAATGAGGACTGCTTGGCTGTTCCACACACCTGTGAGGAAACTGATGATGGCTGATATCACTTTGTGCTTTATGGTCTTTGGGAAGAGCTCAGATGCAAAGACACCACGAGAAGGTACTGAAGAAAGCCAAGATGACTACAGAGAGCAGGAAGATATGACCCAGATTTATATGAACTGCAAAGGGAGGGTGGAAGGCCAGGGATGCAGACGAGGACCCTTGCCTGCCATAGAGCAGAGCTCTTTGGAGCCTGGCACACATGACCCCAGAGGCTCCAGCAGCTGGTCCCAAAGTGTGGCCCTGGGAACAGTGTTCTGACCCTGTCACTCCCCCAAGAATCCTTTGCCCTTGTTTTGTTCCCAACATGGAAGGTTATGAAAAATAAAGTAAATTCACAACGTCGGCCACTGAAATTATTCATGAGTTGCTTTTTCCTTTGAGATAGGGTCTCATATATTCTAGAGGCCATAAAACTCATTATGTAGCTGAGGATGACCTTGAACTTCTGGTCTTCCTGCCTGTACTTCCTCAGTGCTGGGATGTCAGGTATGCACCACACTCTGCCAGGTATATGGTGCTGAGAATTGAACCCAGGCCCTGTACATGCTAGACAAGACTGTGTGGACTGAGTTATATCACCAGCTCCCTTCTTAACTTATTGCTGTGTGAATATGATTGTATTAAATCTCGTGGGAAATTTTTAGACTTGGAGGGCAGGCGCAGTAGCCCACACCTGTAAATCCCACTCAGAAGGCCGAGGCAGGCAGATCTCTCCGAGTTCAAGACTAGACTGATCTATGGAATAAGTTCCAGGATAGCCAGGGATATATAGAGAGACTGCTGTCATAAAAAAAAAATTAGGCAAAACTTGTGATTAAAGTTTTGCCACCAGGCCTGGCAACTTGTATGGGTAGAAAGAACGCAGGGGTGATACTGCTGAACCTTTAAGAAGCAAGAGGACCCCCAAAACACACATCAAAGATTATTCATCCCTGCTGACTGTGGTGGCTCCCCACAAGTCAGTTCATATCCAAAGCACAATAAGAAGAGGTATGTGAATGGACCATAATGGATGGGATGATGTGTGTGCTGGAGCATAGGGCAGGACTCAGAAGTGCATCAGACTCAGTTTGGGAGTGGTCAGGCAGTAGAGGTCTCCACTGATGTGGCTGAGGGGAGCCAGGCCACAGAGGCCTATGCATAGCTCTCCCCACAGAGCCCAGGAGGTTTACCTACCCACTTTTGGGCATCCATTCCCTGAATGTCATCAGCCTCCAGACACATGCCCTGACAGTAAGCCACTCCAAGGAAAGGAATTTCTTCCTCACCCCCACATCCTTCAGAAACTCCTAAGGGGATCATGATGATTGGCCCAGCTAGGGTCACAAATTCATTCCACTCTGGCCAAGGAGAGTAGCTATGACCTTGGTGGCATGTGAGCTGCATTCCAGTGACCAAGGAGCTATGATCACCTGAGAAGCCAACATTTCAAACCATAGACTCAGGGGAGAATAAGCAGTGTTCGTTTGTTATTCATCTGGGTGTTTGTGTGTGGTGTATACATGCCACGTGTGCCCCTGTGGGAGGGAGTGCCTGCACCTATGCAGGTGTCTTCCTTATGTTGATTATCATCGTCATGTGACACAGAATCTCTCTCATCATGGACACCAGGCTGGCCTCAGGCTCAGATTTTCTCGTGGGTCTGCCTTCGCAGAAGACAACTCAGGTTGTCAATTTACAATTTGTAAAGGGCTTCTCCTTTTCACAGTAAGAGTCAAGGAAAAAGTCAGCAAATTAAATTCCAGTGCTCATTAGTTTTGCTTTGTTTTGGTCCATGAAAAGTTTCTGCACCCCGTAAGCCTCTCCACTAACCCAGCAATCGAAACCAGACCAAATCCAATTGAATTAAAAGAGGCCCAGGTTTAATGGGTAAAATGCTCCTGGATGATTTTCCAGCTCCCGACGCCCCAAGAGAGGAAATGGGAAAGAGAGACTGAAAAAACATGTGTCTTTTTTCTGAGTGGCAGTTTAAATGCCCTGTGGGAGGGGTCTTGATCATCTCTGGAGGAAGAGTCATCATTTGGCTGGCTTTCTGACATGTGCATGGCTTGGAGAGAGATATGGGAGAGGGGATTTGAGGTGGAGCTTTCACCAGAATAGTCTATTTAAAAAATGGAGTTTCCTCTTGGGAGGCAGAGGCAGGCAGTTCTCTGTGAGTTCGAGTCCAGCCTGGTCTCCAGAAAAAGTGCCAGGATAGGCTCCAAAGCTACACTGTCTTAAAAAAACCAAAAATAAATAAATAAATAAATAAATAAATAAATAAATAAAATGGAGTTTTGTCTCAGATTAATCATTGACTCACATTCTGAAGGGGTTACACAGCACTGAGACAGATGCCCGTTTGGTGACTCCCATAGGAGACAGTTCCTACTATTCTTCAGTCAGGTCTACAAATTTAGGGTCTCCAATCCCTAGACAATTCAAGTTTGCACAGCTACATTTTTATTCACTTGCTTTTTAAACTCTGTGAATTGGTTTCCTACCTGTGTTTATATTAACTTGAGGGCCCATCATTTTATATTTTACTTATGTGTGTGATGGAGAGCAAACATACCACAATACACATGTTGAGGCCAGAAGACACCTTTGTGGAGATTGTTCTTCCTTCCACTTTTCTGTGGGTTCTGGGGTTAGAACTTAGGTCATCACACTTTTGCAGCAATCATCTAGACACTGAACCATTCCAGTGGCCCAATTTTTGGAGATTTTAAAATATATTCGTGTGTGTGTGTGTGTGTGTGTGTGTGTGTGTGTGTGTGTGTGTGTACTTTCATGAATGTGCCCACAGATGTTAAATCCCTCAGAGCTGGAGTTAGCCTGGAGTTGTCAACTACATGAGTGGTGGGATTTAAATTCAGGTCCTAGTTTATGAGGTGGCACACCTGTTATCCCAGCACTCAGGAAGCAGAGCCAGGTGGATCTTTGTGAGTGTGAGGCCAGCCTGGTCTATATAGTGAGTTCCAGGACAGCCAGGGCTGCATTGTGATACCCTGTCTAGAAAAAACAACAGAAAAGATTAAGAAATATTTTTTATGTGTATGGTGTTTTGCCTGCATGTATGACTTGTGCATCACATGTATGCATTGCCCATGAGGTCAGAAGAGGGTGTCAGATCTCCAGGAACTGGAGTTAGAGGTGTGAGCCACTGTGTGAGTTTTAGAAACTAAACCTGTGTGGTGATATCTTGCTGATACAAATAAAGCCTGCCTGAAGATCAGAGGATGGAACTTGCCACTAGCTAACCATAGAGGTTTGGAGTTCTGTATAGACAGACAGGAAGTGAGATGGCTGGGTGGAAACAGGAAGTGAGATGGCTGGGAGAAGAGAAAACATAAGAGGGAAGAAACAGGGCAAAGGAGGTAATTTTGGCTTTGGCTTGCTCCTTCTTCTCTCTGATCTCCCAGCATTTCCCTCTATATCTGACTCTGGGTTTTTATTATTTAGACCAATTTGGAACTCCTGTTTACATTTTGGTGCTCAACAAGGCCAGAACATTAACATCAGGACAGGGGCAAATTGCCCCACATGGACCCCTGAGAAAGCCACCAGCTCTCGTGGACTTGCTCATTCAAGTAAGCTGCTCCTGACTCCCTGCTCCTGCACTCCACTCGGTGTCAGTGGCTTACACTATGCCTAGAACCTTTTTCTTTGTGTTTGGTGCTTTGACCCAGTCTTTATTTCTACTAAAGGAACACGCCCCAGACCTCAGTATTTCCTGGAGCTAGCATACCCGATCCAGCCCACGCATTCTGATCGGCGATTGGCCGATCAGTGCAAGCAGGTTGCACTTTTTTCCCTTTATCTGTAACACAAATCTATTAGGTTTGGTTTTGTGTGGATGTTTGCTTAGAATGCAAAAGTTGGACAACATTCGGACAAGTCAGACCAGAGGAGCTTCAGTGTCATTGGACTTCCTTTGGCAGCACACCTATGACACCTGCTGGCCAAACATCATCATTGCAATTTAAGATAAGGCCATAAGAGGCACAGACGATCTTCTAAGGATTTGAGGTAAATTACTGGATAGTTTTGCATTTTAAGCTGGTAAATAAACTAATTAATAAATTTGTTAACTACTGCCACATCAATGGTGGATAATAACACCACCCCTTTTCGATTCTACTATGGATGGAATTTTAAAAGAGATATACGACCTACCTACCTGGGATGTATACATTCTTGGTCATAATTGATATTAGCTTGGTAATCCATTAATTTCCTTAAAGAGATGGTTTGATAATAAAGCTAAGAATAAGGAATTTATAGAAATGATACAGAATTTACAGACTGGAATGAGAGCTTAGCAAAATGGATCATACATTTTAAAATGACAACCATAATTTGACAAACAGAATTCACAAAATAAAGCATGATAATAAACTCCTAATAGAAAAAAATTAATTCCATGTCTAAGGGTAATGACAAGCTTGCAGATAGAACATGGTTTTTGGAAAGCAATCTGCATGCCATCCAAATAATCTCTAAGGATAAGAATATCAAATCTCTGGGACTCATATGTAAATGATGAGAACAAGAAACTGACTGATTTAATGAAATCATTGGAAATTTTTGCTATACAGGAAGTTCAAATGCTTAAAAAAACAATGGTGACTAGATTACAGGCCATAGAAGACCTTCTTAAAACTGTACACCCAGGAGTTAAAGTACCAATAAAAGAGAATAAAAAATATTTAACATCGCCAGAACCTTTCAGAATCAGAGATGATTTATCAAAGGTCATATCATCATTGTCACCTGCTATGATCTATTTTGTTACTATTTCTCAAAAGCCAGCAAATATTGAATACCCAGAAGGATATACAGAATGCAAGTGGGGTCCTATATGTATGAAAGATTCAAAATATATTAAGGAAGAAGTAGTTTCTTATGTCATGCATTCACCATATGTGAGGCAGTTAGTAAAGGCATGGACTACAAGAAATAGAATAGCTCCAAATGACTGGCTTCAGTTACTTTGCAGTTTCAGAACTTGGTCCACAGCTGCAGTAGAAGTCATATTGGAGGGAAGAGGCCAAAGCCCTTGAACATCAAGGCAGAATCAAAAGTTATGAGGCTTCCCAAGATCAAATTCTTTGTGAGTGCTATTATGCTGATGCAGATTCTTAAGCTACATACAATCTTGTCCCTATGCTGTACAGCAGCCTTGAATGCTAAGATTTAAGAACCAGGGAAAAGAATCAAGTCTTATACTAAGGTTACTCAAAGCCCATAAGCACCCTTTAGTGACTTTTTTCAAAGATTGACTAAAGCTGTACAAACAGGGGTATGAGATCCAGAAGCTAGATGAGTACTAATTCAATCTATGGATTTTGAATATGCTAATTTAGAATGCAAAAATGTGCCTGAGCCCTTAAAGATCAGATCAGCACCAATGGATGAATGGATTCTACACATAGCCAATGTTGAAACTTTTGACTATAATACTGAGGCTTGGATAGGAAAAGTGATCTTCAAAGGTATGAGGAGACATCAAAATACCAAATGTTTTAATTGTGGTAGAATGGTACTTTTGAGATAAATGGTAGACAAGACATTCCTAGAAATAATGCTTCTTCTGGGAATAACCCAGATAGAAGGCCCTAGCCTTCTGGATTATGTAGAAGATTTGGCAAAAGCCAACATTGGACCAACGAATGCATATCTACAAGAGACAAATAAGGCAACCCTTTCCCATCAGGAAACTCCTTGGAGGGGGGGGGAGGCTCTGGAAGGCCCCCATGTCAAACGTGATCTAGTCATTCCCGGTCACTGTGGAGGACAATCCTTCCCAGAAAAAGTAGGAAATCCAGTGCCTATTGTTAAAAAAATCATACTGCTCTGGATGACAGAATAGTTTTAAAGGAAAAATAAAAAATTCAAGGAGGAAACAGAAAATGTATATTTTGGAAGATTTCTATAAATGACCAAAGACCAAAACTAACTGGACACAGGTGCAGACATCACCATTATTACTCCAGAATCTTGTGTCTAAGTTGGCCTCTTCAGTCGGTAGATGTTCAATTTTTAGATATTGAAATCCTATCTCAGGTAAAACAAAGCATGAGATGGGTTGAATGTATAGAATCAGAAGGACAGAGTGGAAGGCTGAGGCCATATGTGGCTAATATAGCAGTAAATCTATGGGGTTGTGATCTGTTTCAATGGCATACCCAGATTAACATTCCTGAAGTATCAAAGTGAACCATAAACCAACTCATGTTTATGGAAAAATGTTATAAAGCACTATATAAAATAGACACAGATCATTTAGGCTTTACAAAAACATAATAAATCAAGTGCCAAACTCATAGAGGGACCAAAAGCCCTACTCTTAAAATAGTTAACTGACAAACCTGTCTGGGTGGGTCAATAGCCTATGACTTCAGAGAGGCTAGAGGATCTCCAACGGCTTGTTCAGGAACAGCTAAATGCTGGGCATATTGAAGAAGCTACCAGCCCTTGGAATTCTCTTGTATTTGTTATTAAGATGAAATCTGGAAAATGGAGAATGCTTACAGACCTGAGAACCATTAACAAAGTAATTCAGCCAATGGGCTCTCTACAGCCTGGAATGCCATTGCCTATTACCTAAAGAATGGCTTATTATAGTTATTGACTTCAAAGACTTTTTCTTCACTATACTTTTACAAGAAGATATGGAAAATTTTACCTTCATGGTGCCTACATACAATAATAATTCTGCTAAGTGATATCAATGGAAGATTATCCCACAGGGAATGTTAAATGGCTCCATCCTGTGCCAATATTTTATATGGCAGTCATTGGAAATAATATGGGAGCAATTTCCTCAGTCTTAATTTACCATTACATGGATGACATATTATCAGTTTCAAATATAGATAGTTTAGAAAGAATGTGTGAAGAATTAAATACAATTTTTGCCCTGTTGGGGATTTCAAATTGCTCCTGAAAAATACAAAGAGGAGATCCTATTAGTTATTTAGGGTATAAAATAGGTTTGCAAAAATTAGACCCCAAAAGGTGCAAATTAGGAGAGATTGATTGCAGACTCTTAATGACTTTCAGAGATTGCTAGGAGACATTTTCCATCTATAGCAAATTATTGGGATAAAACCTGACCAACTTATTCATTTAAAGAAAACCTTAGATGGTGACAAGGACTTAAATAGTCCAGGGAATTAACAGCTGAAGCCGAGAAAGAATTGGCATTGGTGGAAGACGAATTATAGACTGCAAATGTGGATCATGCAGCTCCGAAGGTTAACTGCATTCTAGTCATATTGCCCTCTAAGCATTCCCTACAGGAATTTTAATGTACAGGGAAGGTATTATCTTAGAATGGATTTTTTACCACATAGACCAAGTAAAAACTTAAAAACTTATGTGGCAAAGATTTCTGAGTTGATTCTAAAAGGGAAATTGAGACCTCATCAATTAGCAAGAATAGAGCCAACAGAAATCGTAGCACCTTTTAGCAATGATGAAATTGACAAATTATAGGTAGAACGTGAACCCTGGCAAAGAGCTTGCAGTAATCTTTTGGGAGAGATTAATGACAAATATCCCAAAAGCAAGAGAATCCAACTTAAAAGAGAACTAACTGGATCCTTTCTCGAATTGCATAGGAAGCACTAATACCTGGAGCCCCTACATTCTAAGTAATTTAAGTAAAGTGGATCTAAGTCTTTATACTTCTGTCCAAGAGTCAGAATTACATGTTATTTTCATTGTGTTGATGGATCATAAACAACTTCTCAATATAGTTACTGATTCACAAGATGCAGAAAGAGTTGTTTTACATATTGAAACTGCTGAATTTATACTAGATGATACAGAATTAGTTTTATTATTTATTCAATTATAAGACATCCCTTATATATAACATACATCTGATCCCACATGGGTCTTCCAGGCCTTCCAGCACAAGGAATTGATGAAATTGTTCAACTATTGATAGGAAATGGTGCTAAAAGCCTCAGAATTTCATTAAAAACACCATGCCAATAGCAAAGGTTTGAAAAAAGACTTTTCCATCACTTGGCAACAAGCCAAGGGTATTATAAGGAAATGTCCTACTTGTTCTTCAAACAATCAAACTCTACTACTACCTTCAGGAAGTAACCCAAAGGGTACTCAAAGAAGGAAATCTGGTAGATAGATGTGGTCCAGTTTGTAGAATTTGGAAAAGCAAAATATGTACACTGCACCACTGATACATATTTAGGTTTTAGTGGGCAACTGTTTTGAGTTCAGAAAAGTTTGATTTGGTAATTACACATTTGATAGAAGTTATGTCCATCATAGGTATACCTGGACAAATAAAGACAGACAATGGTGCAGCACATGTTTCTAAGAAAATGAAGCAGTTTTTTGCTTATTATAATATAAATCATATTACAAGTTTACCACACAGTCCTACAGAGCAGGCAGTCATAAAAAGATCAAGTAGAACTCTAAAGGATATGCTATATAAACAGAAATGGATGATAAAGAACTCCAAAAATAGATTGCATGGTGCTTTATTAACTTTGGATTTTCTGAATGCTAATGAGAAAGGAACAACAGCTGCAGAGAGACATTGGATAATAGA